CGCGGGTCGCAGCCGGGGCAGACTGCAGCACCCATCAGCACCCACCCTTCCTCTCCCGCATCTCTGCAAGCCCAGCTGTGAGACTGTTATCAAGCCCCAGGTTGGGTGTCCCAAAATGCTGTGCCGGAGCCCCAGCCCTCGGCAAGCGAGGCGCCGACCTGCGCCCTCATGCCCGCACCCTACGAGGCATGGCCTTCCCAGCCGGGAAGGGCACCCAGGCGAGGGCGAGCTGGTGCCCCCACACGCCTGCATCCCTCGTGATGCCACTGGCTCATCCGAAATCCTCCTCGACTTCCCCATGTCTGCCATACCAAGCAGCATTCCTGGAAAGGACGGCCAAGGGGGAAGCAGAGCAGAGGAAATATAAACAGTCCCGTGCAGCTACGCTGGGGAACAGAAGCATGAGAGTGCCGAGTGCGCGGTGCTATAAATAGGCAGCCCAGAGCCAGCATCCCTCGTGATGCCACTGGCTCATCCGAAATCCTCCTCGACTTCCCCATGTCTGCCATACCAAGCAGCATTCCTGGAAAGGACGGCCAAGGGGGAAGCAGAGCAGAGGAAATATAAACAGTCCCGTGCAGCTACGCTGGGGAACAGAAGCATGAGAGTGCCGAGTGCGCGGTGCTATAAATAGGCAGCCCAGAGCCAGGCCAACTTTTTCAAAGCTTCCCATGTTCTCCTTGGGAATGTGGGATGCTGCGGACCTTCCACCAGCCCGGAGGAAGCCGCTGCCGAGGCTGGGAGTCAGGTACCCCCAGGGTGACCCCAGCGTGGGATACCGCACCGATGGGGTCGGGGGCAGGAAGGCTAAAAGTCTCCCTATGTCCTGATGCCTTCCCCCGGCGAGCGGTCCCCAGCCGGCCTTGGGCTGACAGCTGGGTCCTGGCCAGAGGTGACACGCTGGGGTCCATGGGGCTGTCGGCACAGCCAGGTTACCCCAGCCCTGATCTCCACCTCGCCACAGCATCGCTCTGCCACCATGGCCATGCTGCCCATGGAGACCCTCCCCTTGCTCTGTGCTGGCTGCTGATGTGGCCAGCAG